TTATGCACAAACGAAGAGATAATTGATTCTCCAGAGAAACTGATCGTTAAATCTCTTTCAGTCTCTAGCCGTTTTGTGAATCATTGTCCGACCATATAAAATTGCAGTGAATAATGTCTCCTCGTTTTATATGCAGAAAAACATATATAGATTGTAATCTATGTGAGACATTTGTCAAATTAATTTATATATTAGCGTAGCACTTCTGGAGCGAAATGCATGACGTTGTTTCTGTCCCAAAATTCGAAGAAATTAAGGTGAAAAAATGTCTTCCTGAAAATTGGGACAAAAATCCTTTCGTTTACTTTTTGTGAGAGTAATTTTTGTCAGGGTAGTTCTAATTTATGTCGTGTTGAATCTTTTCTCCTGAAATGGTTTCCTGATGTCTTCAGACATTGTGAAACTAATTTAAATTTTCCATTGCTACCAAGCTATCTTCCTCTTTGCCGAAAAGATCCTAGCATATATATGCATGGCCTTGGTGTTTATATTCTGGAAAATTGCAAGGGAATTGTCTCTGGAGTCCCCAGAGGATTCTTACATGTGCTTTCGACTTTCGTTATTGCACGCTGTTAGGTATTTCTTTTTCCTTTATCGCTCTCCTTCTTCTCAAGACTGTAATATATTAAACAAAATTTCTGATAATATAGAAATGGCTCTTTCTCTACATCTATCTGCGAATGTTTTTGTTTTGTGATTTTAATGCTCATCAAATCAAGTGACTTAAGCATTCAACTGGTGTTACTAATTTTATTGGTATTTACACTTTCAGTATATCCGTCAATCGGACTCTCAGTCAAATAGTGAATTTCTCTACTCGTTTCGCTAATAAATCTTATCACCATTCTTCTTTGCTTGATTTCTTCTTTACCTCCTCTCCTAGATATTGTAGAGCATCATAAATCTATACTCTTGGCTATTCAGATCACACTGTAGTATCTGTTCATATTTCTTTTGGATCGTCTATTGGAAAAGAACCTCTTATTCACAAGACTTTTTCTGTTACCAGCGTACTGAATGGGATTTCGTGACGCCTCTTGGAATGCTATTCTTAGCCTACCTATTGAGAAATGTACCACAGAAGTTTCTTCTTGGTTAACCCAAGCTGGAATTGGTGCTTTTGTACCTTCTCGCAAATATCAGTTCACACCAACATGTTCATCTGCTGTAGCACACAGGAATCACTTTTTCCGGCTGTACCAATAATAATTACGATCACAACAGGCGCCTATTTGTGACTAATCGAATTAATTGTAAATATATCCTCAAAGAAGCTAAGTCTTTGTTTACTGACAGAATAAGGAACGGTATAGTCTCTTACAAGTTGGGTTCTTGTGATTACTGGCATCTCTATAATACTGTGTTAAAAAAAGATTAAGTTTTCTCTTTCTCCACTCTTCACTCAATTTGAAGTATTAACATCTTCTTCTAATAAAGTGGAATGTTTTCTCATAAATTATCTTTAAATTCTACTCTAGGCTCATCTGGAGTAACTTTAACTTTCCTCTTAGAACTGAGTCTCTATTGAGTGATATGCATATAATTCCATCCATGGTTTCTGCTGTCATCTCTAAACTGAATCCCCTCAAAGCATGTGGACTTGATGGTATCTCTACAATAGTCCTTAAGAAATGTGCTCCTGAACTGGCTCTTGTTCTCTCTAAACTCTATATTAAGTGCCTTGCATTTGCTTTCCTGCTTGTTGGAAATCCTCTTTGGTAGTTTCAATCGTTAAGATCTCGGTGACCTGTCTGATCCTTCTATTTGCCTATTAGCCTTCTACTCCCTTCTGGTAAAGTACCAGAGGTTCTAATCAACTCAGAATTGGTTCAGCCTTTCACTTTACTGATTCTGTCTTTCTTCTTAAATCGCGAAATGAAAGTTCTCTTGAATGGCCACTCTTCTAGATCATTTGTATGAATGCAGGTTTCCCCCAGGACTCTATCCTTGAACTTAAGTTGTTTATAATTTTCATAAATAACCTTCCTTATGTCATCCGGTATCAACTCGGTATCTATGTTGATGACATAATTATTTACTCCTGTCTTAATAGTAAGTCTGATCGGTTCGATAATGTCAGATTGGCAGTTGATCTCAAAAATGATCTACAATCTATTGTTAAATGAGGCAATGTTAATTTTAATGCCTCAAAAACGAAACTGATCGCTTTTAATCATTTCAGAGAAGAAACATTTTACCTTCCATCAGTATGGCTGATGCTAACCTCCAAGAGAGAAACTCATTACGTCTTCTCAGACTTAGGGTTGGGGTTTTTCAGTTGACATGAAGTGGAAAGATTACATTGAATGAATTGCTAAGTTTTCCGCTAAGAAATATTGTTCACTATGTCGGGCTTGATAATTTTTCTCGTCAGAATCTATCTTACATATTTATAAGTCTACCATTCATCCTTGCCTTGAATATTGCTGCCACATCTAGTCTGTTGTTCCTGCTATATATTTAAAAATTCTTGAGGTAATCCAAAGAAAAATCTGCAATGTTATTGGTCCTGACCTGGCATCTAGGCTTCAGTCACATTCTCACTGCCGTAGCGTAGTTTCCCTCTGCCTCTTCTATAAATAATTTCATGGTAATTGTCTTGATTAACTATACTCTTTGGTACGTAGACTTTATGAATTTAAGCGCAGTGCTAGATTGGCAGCAAGGTCTTATCATTTTACAGTCGCAATGTCTAGATGTAAACGTAAGTTCTACGCTAACAGTTTCTTCTGTCGCACTTCTCGCTTGTGGAACTCTCCTCCGGCTCCTTGCTTCCCAGTCAAGTTTGAACTTCAAAAATGTAAATGCAATCTCAATCGCTATCTTCTGTCGTCTTAATTCCTGTAATTTTATTGTCCTCTCTCCTTAATAGCAGTTTTTCTCATATTCTCTGACACTCAATAACCTCTTGCGTCCTAGTGACTTGCTTGGGTGAAGTGATAAAAAAATTGTATATGAAAAGACCGAACTTCCGGGTTGCACATGGTATGTGGCCAAGGTTACTGTTTCTATCTACCTTGGGCACTTCGAGGTGGTGTAATGGTTAGCAAGCTTGTCTCGCTAGAGCAATTACGAATGTGTAGTGAGTTCGATCTTCACTAGGTGCCCCTTACTTTCGGCCTTGTGCCACATTCAGGCTACGCTTGGAAAATCACTATCTACCTATCTATATATCTATCTCTCTATTTATCTATCTATCGCTGTGAGAGAGAGTAGTAAGAGTTTATTTGTTGTATAAGGTTAATCAAGTAATGAACTAATAATTAAGGATATCACCCACTCTGAAATGTCATCATACTTGAGGAAGTAGTGATGGATAACGAGCATTTGAATACGTAAACTCTTAATATGAGTCTGATTTGATTTAGGGTAGTTTATTCAGAGATTAGAAATATGGAATAATGGTGAAATGGAGAAAGATCGACAAGAACCTTGAATAGAAAGGCGCGTCGATTTGAGTTAAGCATAGTTCATTGGTTAAAAGTATAGGGTCCAAATGAAAATATGAAATTACGAGGATTAGAATATCTTATAGAGATAAGGTTTAATTCTTCTTTTATGTGCCGTGTTCCTTCAGGAAGTGGGCGATCATGGCTCGCCACAACTTCCTATTCTTTATAAAGCAATGTCTGTATTTTTATTATCACTCCCGCTCCCTATTCTAACTTACAACAGATCGTACCAACTGAATTCGTGAATAAACAGCCAAATATATTGGAAACGAGATTCCTGTTTTCTTTTCGCGTTGTGGCGATATTTTCATCTTCCGTTTCCGTGTGAACGTACACTGGGTCTTTCCGATTTTTTGCTCACATTGACGCAAACTGGAATCAAAATACAACATTGGCTGATTTGTACAATCAGTGAAAGACTGAGAGATCATCCCGGCTGTATGTTTATACACCATTCACTTTTTGTCCTGCTCTTTCCGTGGTATATATCTATGTTGTTTTATCGGTTAAAAACTGCTGCTGAATCCAGCTTAGAAGGCCCAATGATAGAATAGATACTACACGAAGCAGGCCAAAATCAACAGTGTTTAAATTTCTGAGGAATAAGGCAAATTAATGAAAAAAAGCCATATTGTCAAAGAATTCCTGTATCTAATCGTGTGCGAAATCACAAAGAAAGTATGCTTCTTCGGAGATTTTAGAGTTTATCTATTACTACTATAGGGTGTCCAGTTAAAAAAGCGACCAATTCAGAAATAAATTTATTTAGCTATCATGATATATGCACTAGCTGAACAATCATCGTAGATGTTCAAAATGTTTGCCTGAACGTTCAACACAAAGTTGTAAGTGCCGTATCCAGGAGGCCGTAACTTTGCAGATAGTGTCAAGAGGAATTTTATTCCAAGCTTCAGTTAAGTTCCACTTCAATGAATCAATATCAACGATGTCAAGACGATGGTTTTGCAAGTGCGCTAGGAGTATACTCCATATACAGTCATCCATAACATTCAGATATGGGCTTTTAGAGGGCCACTAAGATGGACCAATTAGAGCTGATGGTGTATTTTCTCGAAGAATAAATTTGCCACATTTTACTGGGTATCCTGTATATGGTTAAACTTCCAAATTTTATCTGGTAGTAAATGATGAGCATGACTTTCAGGTTGCTGAAAATGTTTATGTTCCTGACTTCTGAAGGATTCAAATTTAAGATAAATTCTTTAAAAAAAGAATATTGAAACCTACACGCAATTATAAGTCACATAAAAAAGACTTTGATATCTAAATATAATTCGCTTACTGATATTAGATTGAATAAAGAACAAAGCCAACTGAAAACAGAAAAAGATTGTGCTGCGTCAAACTTTCAAATGGGAAGGGTCTACCTGCCTTGAAAATCATTCTTCATCATCTTGGCTTTTAGCTAACCCCAGTATTTACTCAGCTTAGTTTAGTACAGTACAAGTTCAAACAAGTACGTAGATCATGTCGCGCCAATCATTTAAGTGGGAGGGGTTGGGTCAACTTATAGATTTATTTACTTACTTTTGCCGTCAAATTTTGCAGTTGTCCAATACTGGCTTTTTGTGTTAAGAATGTTACTCAGAGAATTTAATTCATTTTGATCTTTAACTGAGTACAAAGACGCATCCGATTTCTGGCAGGTTAAAACGGCATTTCGATGAGTACTAGTTTGACGATTTGCTTGGAAACATTTCGAATTCACTTGGAACCAATTGTTCAAACCAGAACCTGCAAAAAATATGAGAAATTAAAAACAGCTTCAAAATTCTTTTTCTAGAAGACAAGAATAGAAATATGGCATTTATAATTTTCAGAATCATTATTATTATTCCAAGAATTGTTTAGGCTATGGAATTAATTCATTGTTTTACTTTTGTTACAACCGGAATATTTTGGTCGGTCTATTCAGCAACCATCTTCAGATGTATTGTTTTTTTAGAATTGATAGGAGTTCTTTATTTCTTTCTTTCATTCTTTCAGAAATGGATGGCAAACGAAAACAAATTATAGCTAATTTAGCATACATAATATGTATAACCTTGGTTGTATACCTGAATATGGCTAAAGAATGGATCGGCTGAAATATTGCATTAAGAAAGTCACATAAAAAATTCAAGGAATTCAAACAATTCGAATCTAACAATGGTTGAGTTGAGTCAGTTTTCCTCATTCGTAAGGAATGGGAAACAGTACAATTTACGTTCATTTCACGGATGAAGTATGGATGACCCAATATGACATTACCTAGTGTTACCTACAATAATAAAAGAATATTTCTGATGCAATAAAGCAGTTATATGACGGAAAACACTCTAGCAGCAGCAACAGTAGTAGTAGTAGTAGTAGTAGTAGTAGTAGTAGTAGTAGTAGTAGAAGTAGTAGTAGTAGTAGTAGTAGAAGTAGTAGTAGTAGTAGTAGTAAAGAAGAAGAAGAAGAAAATGTCTTAGATTATATGGCAGGAAAATGGTTAACCAAATAACAAAATAAATTGATAACATTTGGAGATATATACCAGTAATGACTCTCAAAGAGCTAAATAGCTTAAAGGCAGATGTGGCAATAATGGTTGGAACAGAGGTTGGATTGACAGGAAGGAAAAGCAATGACAATGCAAAGACTCATGATAAATGGCTGCAGAAAGGACAGCATCCGGATGCTGCGCAAGGGAATCTGTCAAATACAGTACATGAAGAATGGAACGATAAGAAATGAAAGAAATTGAAGAGAGAACATAATGGCAGCCCCTAAAAAGAAACAGTAGTACTATTCGAAGAATTGAAGTACCGAGTTACTGCAAAGGCAGATAAAGTCAAGAGGTATGAAAATTGGCGCAGTCAATTGTAACAAAATAAATTGTTTAAAAATAATGTATATCTTCAAAACAGTTGTGTGCCAAGTTGAATAATGAATTGCTGAACTATGCTGACTATGAAGAATAAAACCAACAAGCCGATATCTCAAACTATAGACCCATAACCTGCGACTACCATAGAAACTTTTAAAAGTTAGACCATGTAATAATGAAGAATTAGAAGACAAGGTAAACTGCTCTTGCTATGGGATGGATTGACTATAGGAAAGGATACGAGATGGTTCTTCACTTTTGGATTCCAAAGACGCTCAGTATGTTTGAAATTGTTGAAAATATCAATAGATTGATTCAGATGAACATGGAAAATTGGGAAACTGAACTTGTAGCAATTGCTCATTTACGTGTAGATATCAAAATCAAATGTAGAGTAGTTTATCACCATTTCTCTTTGCCATTGAACTTGTCCCACTTTCAGGAGAAACTAGATATAAATTGTAGAAAGACCAATAATAAACCATTAATTAGTCACAGATGATCTAAAATTATATTGTAAGACTAAAAGAGAATTGGTCAATCCTGAGAATACATTGAGAGTATTTAGTAATGAGATAAGGATGAAATTTGTAATCATTAACTGTAGAATATTAATCTAAAAGAAAGGTAAGAATTCGTGAAGTAAAGGTACCTAACTCCCTAATGATCAGACGATGAAGAAAATTGATACAGATGAAAGTTAGAAATATCTTGGAGTTCCGGAAGTTGATAAAGATGGAATTATAAAGGAAAGAATTTAAATGGAATATTTTAGGAGATTGCGAATGATATTCAAATCCAAATTAATGGAAGCAATACCATCAGCACAGTAAATTTCAGATCAGTGCCTATCGTTAGATACAATATAGAAGTAATCATATTGATAAGAGAATAACTAGCAGACTCGACAGAAAGTCAAGAAGGCTATTAACTATACATAAGACAATGCATCCTCAAACCAATATAGATAAACTCTACTTTAGCAGAAGGGCTAGAGGAAGACATTAAATAAACGTTGAAAATTGCGTTGTAATTGAAGTGTAAAGTTTATGCAAATGTGTCACTGAGAGTGAGGAAGACGGTTGATCTTAGTAGCGAAAGTAAAGATTCTTGTTGATAAAAATGCGGAAAAATATATTTTAAATCTCGGAAAGAAACGTACAATCCAAAATGTTTACAGATTTTTTTTTTCAAAACTCTGAAGACCGATGAGGTAAGAATTATGTTGAGAAATCTTCACACACTTATTATTCACATTTTAGGTTGAGAAAAGGCCATCTAAAAATGAAACAGTGAAATTGTTAATTGCAGTTCAGGTCAAGGCGATTAGAATGAAAGCCATTAGAAAATATTTAAACAAAGACATTTCAGCATTATTAAGATTTTGGAGTGGAGCCTAGAAAACTATTGCAAACGGAGCATCGAAATGCCCCATACCTGCACAGAAGGTTTACACAAATTGGCGACATAAGAAAATGGCTGCATTTTTACACTGGGGTCTTTGTCCAACAACTGAAGTTGAGCATTTAGATAAATGATATAATTATAAGCCAAACTGGACAATTGATGAAAAGAAGTTCTCGGAAAGGAAAGACCACATTTATTATCTGTTTGACGTTGCCTGTCCATTTGATACCAGAGCAGACGAGAAAGAAAGTCAGAAAATCAAGAATTGCCCAGACTAAAACTATGAAACCAAGAAAATATGAAACTGCGAGATTTTACCTAGTGCGATCAGATTAATTAGGAATGGTGCCAATAAATTTACCCATTGGTTGAAAGCCAGTAAGTTTCTCTGTGCTGAAGAAGGCAGATTTGCTTCGCAAAACACGATCAAGTAAGAGAGGAACTGAATTGCAAAGGCCGTGGGATGCAGCATGATGAAGTTGAACACTTGCTAATAAAATCAAATAAATTATGCAAAAAGAAAAATAATAAGGAATAACTTTGATCATAAAAAGTTCTCATGAGTGTTTGGTGATAGAGTTGGGATGTCCTGGGGATAACTACATTATAGATAAAGATGTAAAAGTTTGTAAACTACTAAAATTGTAGGGAAATGTCTAGAAAATGACAAATGTACATACCAATCTTGTTATAATTGTCAAGGGAGTCATTGGATTGATTCCAAATTATCTCCAGAATCATCATGACACAACTGAAAACACACCCAACATAGCAACATTGCTAAAAACAAACATTTTATGCAGAATAAATATCCAGCGTAAGCGCCTGCTCTCTGAGTTTTGTATTAAATTTTTTTCGGTTTTCTATGCATATTTAGTTATTATGCATCTATGTGCAGTTAATTATATGAAAAGTATGTTTATTCATTACTTGGAAATATAATAAATTATATTAAATTTGTCTGTGTACGAATATTTGTTTCTCCTCACTATATATATTATTTTTTGTGCAAAGCACACACACAGACAGACAGACAGACACACACCACACACACACACATATACATATATATATATATATATATATATATATATACAGTAGCCAGCATAAAGATCAGAACGATGTTAAGAAAAGTCTAAATGTGAAATAACTTTTTATTTTAAAGATTCAAAGAACATTTTTTCAAGGAAAAATAAGGATAAAAGTAAATTATATAATTCCAAAATATAAATCTCAATAAACTTATTTTGATAAAGTTATAAGAATAATTATATAACATTCGAAAAAAATAGTTGATCAAAAACATTAGAACCATTAACAAAATCATACTATTAAATGGATACATCATATCCAAATGAAAATAGCGTTCATAATTCATTAGTACTTGATGTATAGACCTTTACTTGCAATAACAGCTTGGCATCTTTTGCTACATGAGCGAATTAATGTCTTGCATTCATTGACGGATATTTTCTCCCTTTCTCCTTTCAAATTAGTTCATAGTTCTTCGACGTTTGTTTGATTTTTCTCTTTAGCTCTTTCATTTAGTAACTGCCAAACATTCTCAATAGGATTCAGTGTTTCCTGGTTCATTTCACCCTGTATTAAAAAAAATAGTTCAGTGGCCTAAAAGATACGACAGTCGTTTGTTTGTCTTTAGGATGGACTTTCGAATCAAAGCAGAATTCATTTGTCAATGTTTATATAGTTATCAAATTTAAGGAGACATCAATTATGGACACAAAAACAGTACAGAAGTCATACTATACATTATTTTGATATGAATAGCTTCAGAGTTGAATATTTAAAAATAAAAATAATAATAATAATAGCGATATAAATTAAAGCCGTCTGGAAGACGTCGTTGTTTGGTTCAGTAAGGGTACTGAGAAATGTATTGTAGATTTAAGGAGACTTGCTGTGATTAAATCTTCAGCGATAAGTAGCAAATATCTGGCGTGAACATGTAAATGAATTCACTATATATAAAAAAGAAACAATAAACAAATGAGTATAAAATGTTACTGTTTAATTACGACTTACCAGTTGATACGAACAAAAGCCAAATACAAAGTGCAAGCATGATGTCTTCTTTCAGTTGAGAAGTTTGTTTCTAATTTTCAATTTGATTCCGAATGAACCAAGTGTCTATGGCTGAATGTTCTTTTTCTAGATAATTCTTTTTCAAACGTTGATCATCATTCACACAAAACACTGGACAATCCAATGGACAAACCAGCAGCAGAAATTGGGTAAACGAATATTGATTTCTAACGGATCGATATATAAGTGTTTATCACGTTTCGTTGCACTTATTGAAATCTTATTAAAAGGTTGATACGATGTTAATAAAAGGAAACCTGATTTTACCTTGTTAGTCCAAAAATTAGGTACAGAGGAGAACACTAAATACACGAACTTAATTTTACCTAAAAATCCGGAGGAAATCTTGTTCAAGGAGACAATAAAGATTTTT